TGGGAAAAAAATACAATAAAGGCAACAGATAGGTACACTGTTGTATCCTTCGTAAATCCTTTCGCTGAAGAAAGGGATTAAATGTGGCTTACCATAGCAAATCATAAAATAAGACTCACATTTTGCATTTCCTCTAGATCCTCCTACCTCTCTGAGAATAAATTAAAATATAAACACAAGAGCTGAGTTTTTAAAATTAGGATTATCTCAGCCTGGCCGCATAGCAAAACCCCATCTCTACTAAAAATACGAAACTTAGCCAGGCATGTTGGTGGGCGCCTATAGTCCCAGCTACTTGGGAGACTGAGGCAGGAAAATCATTTGACCATGGGAGGCAGAGGTTGCAGTGAGCTGAGACTGCAACGCTGCACTCCAGCCTGGGCAATAGAGCTAGAGTCCGTCTCAAAATAAATAAGTAATTAAAAAAATAAAATAAAATCCAGGATTATCTCATTATTCTATTTAAAACATATAAGGAGAGAAAATACGCTTTTTTCTTCTGGATTAAGTTTCCCTGGCCAAGTTCCATATGTCTGTTCTTCCCTATTGGCAGGTCATGGGTCTCCCTTCCTACCACAGGAGTTTCTCAACCTGTTGACTTCTCTCGGCTATCGCACAGATGGTGGTGAAATCATTAGATTGAAGGAAACCCAACAGTTCTTGCTTTGTGAAATGAGCATGCTATTTCTGCCCAGGCTACCACCTGGGTCTGGGATCAGGATCTCCTGAGATGATGTGCAGGAAGACACAGAAGTGCTTTGCAAATCCTCCAGAGCTGTGTCCATTTGGATCTTTTTTCTGTAGGAGTCAATGTAACATAATGGAGGACTACAGGGATAGAGTGGACTTAGGGGAGTGGAGAGATGGGGCCTGGGTTTTAGGCAACCCTAAAGTGTTAGTGGTCAAACGATTTGTGTGGAAAATCAGACTGGCTTTCAAATTCCAGCTCTGCCGTCTCCTAACTGTGTGATCCTGGGCAACTCCCAGTGTCTGAGCCTCAAAGATGAGGCTTCATCTGTGAATCCGGAGCACTAACAAAACTGGCTGCACAGGTTTGTTTTGAGGATGGAATATGATCATGTATGCAAAGCACAGTGCCCAGTGAGTGTCCAAGAGATGTCCGTTTTCTCATTAGTCTTGCCCCTCCCATGAACTCACTGTAGAACCTGTGGCAATTCTATTTCCTTCTCTGGGCCTTAGTGTCTCCATCTGCAAAATGGGAGAAGGGGAGGACTCAACTGTCTCCCAGGGCTGTTTTAGCATATGGGCCTGTGGTTTCACAGTGGTGGTTGTAGCAATATCCTAAAGGCAAAATCCATCTCTACAAAAAATACAAAAATTAACTGGGTATGGTGGCACATGTCTACAGTTCCAGCTATCTGGGAGGATTGCTTGCGCCTGGGGTCAAAGCTGCAGTGAGCCACGATTGCACCATTGCTCTCCAGCCTGGGTAACAGAGAGACCTCGTCTCAAAAGAAAAACAACAAACAAACAAAAAAACAGAAAAAAACAGAGTGAAAGGTATAAGCCCATGTTTGCCACAATGATCATGAACTTATCATGTAGTTATGAAGACTTTTATCAAAATATTTGCCTATTATGTTAAGTCTACTCATTCTCTCATTTTAGCTTTATAACTTTAATGGAAAAAAAAAATTTTTTTTTTTTTTGAGACGGAGTCTCGCTCTGTCGCCCAGGCTGGAGTGCAGTGGCGCGATCTCGGCTCACTGCAAGCTCCTCCTCCCGCGTTCACGCCATTCTCCTGGCTCAGCCTCCCGAGTAGCTGGGACTACAGGCGCCCGCCACCTCGCCCGGCTAGTTTTTTGTATTTTTTAGTAGAGACAGGGTTTCACCGTGTTAGCCAGGATGGTCTCGATCTCCTGACCTCGTGATCCGCCCGTCTTGGCCTCCCAAAGTGCTGGGATTACAGGCTTGAGCCACCGCGCCCGGCCAAAATTTTTTTTTTTTAACCAATAAAGTAATTAAGTTACCCAAAGTCAAAGCTAACTACTGCAGAGTCCTAACAGACCCAATAACAACCACTAATTGAGAACCTATGAGCATTACACCTCATTCAGAAGTGACCTTTTAAACCGTATTTGAGGGATGAGTAGGTGTCAGCCAGGCAAGTTGGAAATTAACTCACACAGGGGGGAAAGAAAAAAACTGCGTATGTGAAGACCCGGATCAAATAAAATATCATATATTTGAAAACCTTAAATTCAAATATGTAACCCACTCTACTCAAATTTTAGTTAGTTATCAAGTCCTGGTTGACTGCCTAATAAATTTCAGGAATTCATCAACTGCCTCTAGATGATTTCTCCATCCTGTAAAGTTATATCTAAAACTTTTAGGTACATGTTTTTGGGAGAAAAGGGATTTGACATAAAACAGAAGACTACTGCCCTAACTTGTTGAAGCTATAATTTCATTTCAATTTAAAAAGCCATTTACCTTAATCAAGCCATTATTTCACTTCAAATAATACTATGTAAAGAGCTCTAATCTATACACAAAAGCAGAATTCTAATTAAATTTACCCATGATCTGTTAGGTATCCCCTATGTGCCAAATGCTGACAAACTAAAGGGGCTATGTTCCAAATTATACATATTGAAGGAGTTCTACGTTAACACACTGTAAGACTCACAAACTAGGAATATGGCATCTTAAACTCTTAAAAATGTCATATTATTCCATTTTCAAAACAAATATTCTTTTAAAATCCTGAGTCTGGCCAGGCACGGTGGCTCACGCCTGTAATCCCAGCACTTTGGGAGGCCAAGGCGGGAGGACCGCTTGAGGTCAGGAGTTCGAGCCCAGCCTGGCCAACATGGTGAAACCCCAACTCTACTAAAAACTACTAAAAATACAAAAATTAGCCCACGTCTGTAATCCCAGCTACTTGGGAGGCTAAGGCAGGAGAATCGCTTGAACCCGTGAGACAGAGGTTGCAGTGAGCCGAGATCATGCCACTGTAATCTAGCCTGGGCAAGACAGTGAGACCCCCGTCTCAAAAAAAAAAAAAAAAAAAAAAACCTAAGCCTTAATAATTTTTTGCTGAACCTAAATCTTACAAAATTATTAAATGAGAAAGAAACATTATGACCAGGAACAAGAAGAAAGCATGCTTCTGAAAGTGGAATTAGACTTTTTATTTGTTTAAAATACATTTTAAGACTGTCACAGTGGGCCAGGCGCAGTGGCTCACGCCTGTAATCCCAGCACTTTGGAAGACTGAGGCGAGCGGATCACAAGATCAGGAGTTTGAGAGACCAGCCTGACCAACATGGTGAAACCTCATCTCTACTAAAACTACAAAAATTAGCTGGGCATGGTGGCACATGCCTGTAATCCCAACTACTCAGGAGGCTGAGGCAGGAGAATTGCCTGAACTTGGGAGGCGGAGATTGCAGTGAGCCGAGATTGCACCACGGCATTCCAGCCTGGGTGACACACGAGACTCTGTCTCGAAAAAAAAAAAAGGTTGTCACAAGTGTACTATTCATCAACCATTTTAAAAGAGTAGATAGTATTCCACCACTTATTAAGAAAGAGGGAAGCTGGGCACAGTGGCTCACGCCTGTAATCCCAGCACTTTGGGAGGCCGAGGCAGGTGGATCACCTGAGGTTGGGAGTTTGAGACCAGCCTGACCAACATGGGGAAACCCCATCTCTATTAAAAATACAAAATTAGCCGGGCATGGTGGCGCATGCCTGTAATCCCAGCTACTCGGGAGGCTGAGGCAGGAGAATTGCTTGAACCTGGGAGGTGAAGGTTGCAATGAGCCAAGATCACGCCATTGCACTCCAGCCTGGGCAACAAAAGCGAAACTCCGTCTCGAAAGGAAAAAAAAAGGAAGAGGGAAAGAGGGGGCCGGGCACAGTGGCTCAAGCCTGTAATCCCAGCCCGAGGCGGGTAGATCACCTGAGGTCAGGAGTTCAAGACCAGCCTGGCCAACATTGTGAAACCCAGTCTCTACTAAAAATTCAAAAAATTAGCCAGGTATGGTGACCGGCACCTGTAATCCCAGCTACTCAGGAGGATGAGGCAGGAGGACTGCTTGAACCTGGGAGGCGGAGGTTGCAGTGAGCCAAGGTTGTGCCATTGCACTCCAGCCTGGGCAGTAAGAGCGAAACATTGTCTAAAACAAATAAATAAATAAATAAATTTAAGAAAGAGGGAAAGAGGGTACAAAGATATACAGTTTTTTGCATATATATATATATTTTTTTAAATGTAAGGACCAATCACCAATTTTCTCTTAATAGTTACCCATAAGGAGAAGGGCAGGAACAGGATGGAGACTGGACAGAAGGTTTGCCTTCTCTGAATAGATTTTATTGTGTTTTGGTAATCTGAATTTGGAACTTTATAAGCATTTTACATGATTATAAAATTAAATCAAAATTTTAGGAGGTAATTCTAAAAAACAATGTATCAAAAGCAAAATGAAACAAATGAAACTGTCTATCAAGTTGACGATCTAACAGAAAGAAAATCTGAATTTAATCAAGCTTCTAGATCTAACTACCAACTCAGAAAATAAGAAGACACTGGAACATGTCAAACAATACTACATAATTCAGACTACAGGAAATTCTAGAAGACAATCTATTTAGTACAATAAATTACAAGGAATTTAATAAAGAAGAGATAAAAGAGAACCTATAGATTAAAGGACACTTAAGTTATCAAACATTACAGTGTATGAACTGATTCAGATTCAAATAATCTGTAAAAAAAAGTAGGAGCCAATCTAGAAAATCTGAACACTGGGTATATGAGGATAAAAGAATTATTGGTAATTTGTTTAGCTGTGATAATAATATTTTTTTTAAAAAAAGAATATTTACCCTTTCAGAAATATGTGTGTGTGTGTGTATGTGTATGTGTGTGTATTCACATATACATACACACGCAGTCAGCCTTCTATGTCAATGGGTTTAACTGACCTTGAAATGAAAATATTCCACACACAAAAAAATTGCAGCCATACTGAACATGAACATTTTTCTTGTCATTATTCCTTAAATAATACAGTTATTTACGTGGCATTTACATTGTTTTACGTATTACAAGTGATCTAGAGATGATTTAAATAATACGGGATGTACACAGGTTATATGCAAATATTCCACCATTTTGTATCAGGGACTTGAGCATCCATAGACACTGGTAGCCATGAGTGGTCCTAGAACCAATGCCTCACAGATACTGAGGGACACGTGTGCATGTGTTTAAAGATTGGTCAGAATTTAGTAACTGCTGAAGCTGGCTTATGGGACACTGAAGTCAATTATATAACATTTTATTTTCGTATATATATTTTTGATTTCCACAATAAAAAATGTAGAATAGTAATTACTTCTACAACTAATAATATCTCTTCCTTAACCAATAAAATAAGTAGCTGATTTTTCCTCCATAATTCCTATAGCATTTATTGTCTCATGTCATCATTTGGTTGTCTTATATAACAATCCTTCCCAAATTTGAGATCCCCCTCAAAAATTATTAAACATGCTGACTTCCTTGGGTGGATCTTTTCTTCAATCAGGAGATCTGCCTTTCTAACATACGAGAATTACAAGTCACTGCTACTGGGGATAATAAAAGGGAATCAAAAAGGAAAACAAATGATAGAACATCCATAGTTTTTATAAAGAAGGCTGAGGAAAGAGTAAAGGAAGTACACGAAAAGAGGCTCAGACCTTAGAAATAAACTCCTACATCCCTCAGTAGAAAGAGCTGAAAGTCATATGTAACAGGCACTGAAAGTCTATGTTTTGGCATGAATTTACTACAGGCAAAGCCACCATCATATATCTATATGTACCAAGGAAGGCTAGACTGTTAAGTGTCACGTATATACAGTCTCAATGGAGCCTAAGGAAGCTAACCAATAACTTCAGATCACAAAATCAGAGAAGTGCTAAACATTTAGAGGAAGAATAGAAAGGAAAAAAACGCCTCCGAGTTGTATATTATTTGTCAGATAAGCAAAACAAATGTGTAAGCCCACTTATATTTAATAATGTCTCACTGAAATTAAAAGTAATAGCGGAGAGTTTGAAGTTTCCACAGATAAAGAGATAATGCTATACTCAAATTTACTACAAATAATAGTAAATGTAAAATATGTATTTATACAGTCTTTCGCAGACTTATGAACTATCTAAAATTCACAAATCCTATTTTTTAAATAAAGTTTTAAGTTTCAACCACTTGTATCACCAGAATTTTGAGACTTAACTCCCATGGTTAAGGGATTTCCAAGCTGTGTTCTCACCTGTAGTCCCAGCTACTCTGAAGGCTAAGGCGGGAGGACCACATGAGCCCAGGAGTTCCAGACTAGCCTTGCTCTATTTAAAAAGCAAGACTCCACTGCCAAAAGAAAAAAATAAAAAATAAAGAAGGGAATTCCATAAATTACTTGGCTTCTTATATTCTGTCTCTTCAGTGAAACAGTACATCACTTACAGCTAAAACTATGTCTTTTATCACTGTAAGTCCCCAGTACTGCTTACACCCTACACAGAGTAGATGCTCAATAAATGTTTGATGATTTGGCAATTAATGGGATAGGAGGAAATATTAATATAAGTGTCAACAAATTACTCCGAATATCCTAAGTAGGTTTATGAGTATGGAAAAGACCCACCCTCAAGGAGTTTGTGATCTCTTCTCTTACATCATACTGCTGTTTTCAATGTGCCATAATTTTTTTTGGGGGGGTGGGGTCAGGGAAACAACAAAAAATAGCTATGGATGCTGTTTAACAATCAGCATGTCATAAGCAGTTGAGAATTTCTGTACTTTCACAAAAATGAAAAAATCTCTCTAAAGATTATTATGTGAGCCCAATCTATCCCCAAATCTTTTTTTTTTTTTTAATATGGGGAACTGATTATGTTCACTTGTAACCTGTCATTCCAAAATTCTTCAGAATGTTTAATGTTCAAGTGTCCATATTCCCAGTCCCTGTTCTACTGGATGCCTGGCGGGGTGCAACCATCTGAATGAGTGGAAGTATAATGTCCGCACCAGGTATTATATTAGGAGCCTTGAACTCAGAATATGTCTGATTAAGTCTTTTAGCCCAATAATTTGCCACGGCTGCCAAGTTTGGTAATTTTGAAGGACAAAGTTCAACCATAATGGGGTGACACAGGGCACCCCCATACTCAAAAAACTTTCAAAGTGCTTTCTAAAGAAGTTTCTCTTTCTCCTTGAATACAACAGTATCAGTCACAACTGATGGCAGTACAACAGATCCATCCATACACTGCTCTAAGAACATCTTGATGGTATAATATGCTGTCATTTGCGCTCTACCTGCTACTAGCTTAATTTGGTCAAGTAGCTCTTTCCCTGGAGACTCGAATTCTACTAGACTCAAATTCTATTAGACCAAAGACAAATGATCTCAGCCAGGGTGTTGACTTAAGCCAATCAATCACTGGTCTTGCATTATAACTGAGCAACAAGTTGGCACAATCACCACGTGCTGGTTGCTGGAGAGCTACCATTAGGGTCTTGAATTGCTTCTGAACCTGGAAACTGTTGGCACGGATTCTGTCACTTGACCCCTACTACTATGCCAATGCCAATCAGTAGATCACAACAGTACAGTACAGATAGTAGCTGCAAGGATGTAAATTGCAGATCCTTCCCTTTGTGGCTTTGGCCATACAGCATTTTAGTTTTGTTCTTTCCACCAAATGAAGTCACAGGGTATGACTCCTTGGAAACTCCAACAGTTAAGAGATTCTCATGTATTCCATGAAATAAAAACCAAAGAAAGGTCAAACTTGTCTTAATGAGATGGAAGTGTTGGATCAAACATTGATTTAGCTGTTCTGTGTCCTCCGCCTCCCCAATGCCTGAATGTGGTTCATCTGCATCGGATGGATACTGTCCAAATTTGCCACTTGGCTCAAAAGACTGCTGCCCAGTGAATAGTATTGCAGATAGAGGCTCAGAGGATACGTATCCATGGGTTCCTCCATGGTGAACAATGGTCTTGGTTGCTGAAGCGATTGTTTCTGATTGGTTCCTATGCCCAGATCTATTTGTGAAAGGAATAATAATGATTAGAGAGTAACAGCACACTTAAATGGGCATCGGTACTGAATATATTGCTTATTAATTAGAAAGAAATAGGATTACAACATTATTGGATTAAGGAAATAAAATAGAGAACATGTATTTGAATATTTGTAAGAGTGTACAAAAGTCAAGTTAATTTTCAAAAATGCAAAATTTGATTTTATTTGGCTAAAATTAAAAAAACAAATGGTAGGAGCAAACAGTAGGTTTTCTCTACTTTCTCATCACCATCATTTACCAGTCATGACATTGTTCAACTTCTTCAATGAATCCCACACCTAATTCATATTTTTCCCAATCTATCCACATTCTCCCATCAACTTCAGCATCTCTGTAGATTCTCTACTCCAAGCAGAAATCAGCAGAGAGCTCGTTTCAAAGGAACGATAAGAAGCTTTCTTTTCAGTAGGTTAAATGTGAAATAGTAAGATACCCAAATGAAAATATTCAGTAAGGTGTAAAAGGGGAATATGAAATCAACAAAATGGTTAAGAAAAGGAGATGCCAATTTGATCACCATAGAGAAGTGATTAATGAAACAGGGTGTGATCTCAGGAAAAGGTAATTTAAAGAAAGAATAAGCTAAATGTTTATTCTGACCTTCTATATAATGTTATGCCTAACCCTAGATCATTTTGCTTCTGTCATTTTGCTCAAAGCTGCCAAGTACTACTGGATAAAAAGTTACAGAATCCTTCAAAGTGTTCATTATAAGTTCACTTTAATTTTGACAGAATACTACTTCTAAGCAATCCTTTATTCTCTTATTGTTGATTCATTAGAATGCAATGATTTCTAACTTACGAGCTTTCAGCCTCCTGGGAAGCTGTTAAATTAGTTATCTCAGTGGGTACCCAGGGCAATGCATTACATAAAGACTATCTCTCACATACATGTATTAACATTTTTCAAATGTGCAGTCAATGTTGTGGTTAATAAAACACAAAGTCATCTAAGAGAGAACTGAGTAGTAGCTTTTTTTTAATATGCATATTCTCCATTGATGAATACTAAAAATGTAACTACAATCATGGGGTAGTCCACAAATTCTTTCGAGGTTAAACAAGGTGTCATCTTCAAAATACTGGTAACCACTGCCTGAAAGTATTCCCCACAGTACTAAAACATCCTTTCCCCATTCTAAGCTTCCAATTATCCTCTGCCCTCTCCTACTTCTGCTTTCATTTTCCTAAGGAAATCAAACGAATCCTCATAGGTACTCACATCTACCTCAGTGCATCTGAATTTATTCTTTCTCCTCTACCTCTATACCTCTATAAATATTTGATGATTTTGCAATTACTGTTGTCTCTCTTCCCTTTGAGAAATAATTCAACAACATATATACCTGATCCTATCTCTAACCTGGCCCCCCACCAAAAACATCAAACAGGTTTAGTCACAAGTTTCTTCCTTTCTACCTAAAAACATTATTAGATCTTACCTACATGGAAAAAAAATTATTTGATCTGCTATATGTTCTAACTACTATTTATCTCTTCTTTTTGCTGTCAAGTTCTCAGGGTTAGCAAACTACAGTCTGAGCCAGCCACCTGTTTTTGTAAGTAGGGTTTTATTGAGAACAGCCACCCCCATTTCTATAGGTATTATCGAAGGCTACTTTCCCACAAGGGCAGAGTTGAGTAGTTAAGATATCATATGACTTAAAAACCTAAAATATTTTCTATCTGGTTTCTTAAAAAAAAAATTTGCCAATCCCAGGGGCTCCAAGTATGATCTACATTCAATGCCATCGTTTCCTGGGGAAGCAGGATGCCATTAAAAATTTTGGAGCAATAAGGTACCATGAATAAAAGAGCATTTCAATACCAGTTTTAACAACAGCATATAGGGCAGATATAAAAGAAGACCACTTCAGAAACTAGTGCAAGAGACTGAGCATTAGGCACAAAGGGAGGAAAATTAAAAGAATGAACTTTTTGAAGGAATAAGCATTAAGACTACATGACCACATTATCATAGAGACAAAGCTAGCAGCAAAATTTTAATCCTTGATGATGTAGCTTTCAAAATTTGCATTCTCTCCTATAATCTACCCTATACGAATAGCTCTTCATATTTTTCTCTTTCCAACTGTGAAGTTACTAAAATCCTAACACTAATTCCATATATTCTGTGTGCCAGGCATTCCCCATGCTTGCTGTCTAACTCCTGGGTAAGCAGATCTGGTAGTCAACAGGCAGTACCAACAGAATTGGTTGAATGAGAACACAGGGCCAATGTCAGAGGTGGATGAGTACTCACCTGTACCTCCCACCTTGGGAGGCTGAGGGAGGACAGCTTGAACCCAAGTGTTCAAAGTTGACAGTAAGCTATGATCACACCACTGCACTCCAGCCTGGGTGACAGAGCAAGACCCCATTTAAAAAAAAAAAGAAAAACCAAACTGATAAACCTGTTTACTCCTGTGCTAGTTATAAAAATGTGTATAAAATACAAACGTAATAAAGACCAAAAATTGAGAGAAAACTCCCAACTTTGGGAATAAATGCATAAAGTGAAACACTTAGTACGGTGAGCATATTAAATCCTTCTCAGCCTTCATCTTTTAAACTCGGCTCAAAATCACTTCCCACCAGATTAAATTAAATGCCCCTTTTATAGGCTTCCATAGCACTTCACATTTCACAACACTCATCACATTTCTAATTATTTATTCAATGTAAATCTCCCAGAAGCACAGACCACAAACCCCAGGAGGGGCAGGAACTATATACACTCTGCTAAACAATGAATCACCAAAGCCAAGCAGAGTAACTGGTATTTTGGGGGCCATCTATAAGTATCTATTGTATTCACATATGAAATATAACACCAGGCATTTGTTCTTCAGCCCTCATAAATCTAGTATGTGCTTAAAATACAGAAATTATGATAGGATAAATTTCTCTGCTGTCTTTCAACTATTCCAAAGTCTTAGAAATTCTTGTATCTACACAGTAGATGTTTCCATTAGGTACTGACGGACTACTGATTAAAAAGAGAGCTCTTGAAAAATAAGTGTGTGTCCAAAAATCAAGGACAGCTCAGACAGCAATAACAATGCCAATTTATTCTTTTTTCCACTTGTAGCTATACACATAAAATTAAAAATAGTTGTTTTCTTAGCCACTCAAATTTCTGCCCAAAATGTCAGGGTGTTGTGATGGTAGTTCTATTAATAGAACCACCTTAATCCCAAGAACCAAATGGACAAGGGCCAAAAAGGTACTACATTCTTGCTAGAGTTTTTTGTTTGTTTTCCAGAAATAAATAAACCAACCTGTAATGCTTTTCTTCTAAAAGGTATCATATGCCTGTGCCCTTGTTGTACTGTCCTTCAGGTGGCTATGCTGTTATTATCACACAAATTGAATGTGGCTGTCTGAATAATGCTCATAGCATTTATCAGTTTATATTGAATTGTTAGCCTCAGAGGAATTCAAATAAAAGATGAATCCTTTCCTTTTTATTTAATAGGTAAATTAATTCTAAAAGAAGTCAAAGGAATTATGCTTCTTTCAAAATCCTCACTGGATCCATCCTGAGGATCCAGTGTGAACTTAAGATAAAACATAATTCCAGTGCAGCACAGAAAAAAATTAAAGAGCTAAATTACAGAGTTACAAATTTGTACTACTCTTGGAGCCATCCCAAAGGAAAGGGATTAAGAATAGAGCCATAGGCACACCTGTGAATGTATGCCAAAAATAAACCACAGAACCATAATAAAAACTGAATTCCTTGCGTCGAAGGATTTATCTCTTTCCCTGAAATGTAAAAAAATGAATTTAACAGTTTAGCCCCTATGGCCTTTAAGAGGATTTTGTACCTTCTGTACTTGAAAATTGTGCTGGGCATAACGTGCTCTCTTATTTAGGTAGCTTATATATGCCAGGGTTAAGGTCTGCCTGAGGCTGCTTTGGTTTATGTTACCGCTTTAATTACATTCAAATGAATTTAATTTACTTGTTTAAAAAAGAGTATTCTCAGAGGACAATATATATGTTTTTTACATACACACACACAAACCCTTGACTCAGAAGGCTTTCTCAGCTTTTTGATCCCTGTACATGACTCCCAAGTATACTAACTAGATAACAAAATCAGATTATCTCATACAAACTCCTCAATCTACCCACAGGAAACTGAAGTACAAAGAGATAGGAAGCCTATCCAAGGTCATGCGGCCGGTTAAGAACACAGCTAGAAGTGATTCACATTTCTGTGATTCTCAACCAACTGTTCACTAACATTTTTAAATACAATTTTCAAATAAGTAATTTCAAATAAAAAAAAGTCTTCCTTCATTCCAATATTTGCATTGGTTCTAACACCTAAGTTTACCTCACAAATATCCATTTTACCTCCCAGCAGAGTTTAAAAACTATGAATGAGACATTTTAGTTGGAAGGAAAACACACATTTGTCAGTTTATCATCCAAGAATCTCCCAAGTTAGTACTCAAAGACTTTATCAATCCCATGACCAGAAAAAATGTTTCTTATATAAGATCCTAAAATATAATGGAAATGGAAATGAAACTTATCTAAGAATTAAAATAGCTTAACAAATATAAAACAGTTATAGAATAACTGCAAAGGCTCTTCCCATTCAAAAGAGGGAGCAGTGTTCATTGACCGAATTGTTTTAAACTAGACATCTTAAGGCTTATTTAAGCTTTCAGAATTTACTTTTTTGGGGGGGACGGAGTTTCGCTCTTGTTGCCCAGGCTGGAGTGCAATGGCGCGATCTCGGCACACCGCAACCTCTGCCTCTCGGGTTCAAGTGATTCTCCTGCCTCAGCCTCCCAAGTAACTGGGATTACAGGCGTGTGCCACCATGTCCGGCTAATTTTTGTATTTTTAGTAGAGACGGGGTTTCTCAATTTTGGTCAGGATGGTCTGAACTCCTGACCTCAGGTGATCCCCCCGCCTCGGCGTCCCAAAGTGCTGGGATTTACAGGCATGAACTGCCGTGCCCCGCCCCACTTCATACAATCTTTAATCAATCCTTCCGCTCTCACAGTCTACCTACTGGTCATTCTGACCTTTTGCTTACTTCCAAAGCACCTTTAGCCTCCCTAGATGTTCCTTCTTGATGACATAGGCATTCCTTTCGGGCCGATTTAAATCAAAACCACAGCCTCATTTTCAGTCCAAATTTCATTGGAATGTGATGAATATACTTTCAACGTAAAATTTCTTTCTTACTCTTAATAAGCTGTCCTCATAGTGACAGGTGAAACACAACTGACTAAGGGGTTAAAATGTCCATTTTTCAAATGCGACGGCCACTCTGAATCAAATCTGAGATTGGGGTGGAGAATCCAAATGTGTAAAACAAAGGTCACAAAAGACAGAACACAGTATTTCGGTGGGAAAAAAATAAGCTAAATTTAGTCACGTAAGTCCCAGCTCTTCTTGGGATATAGACATGATTTTCATGAGAATTAATCCTATCCGGAAACATTTCCTTCACCTTTCCCTTAGCCCTTTTCCTTCGGTCATGCAGTCTCTTACCCTGATACCTAACATACTAATATAATCCTCACTTGCGATCCTTCCTGAGTTTATTCCTCATCCTCAGATTCCCTTGAAAGCAGCAATGCTAAACTGTCTCCAAAGCATAATGCTTTCCTAAATATACACACAATCCATTTAAAAGTCTTTCTATGTGACAGCCTAACTATTCAAAACACGAAGTCACTTCTCTAACGGTCTTAGATAAAAGTTTAAAAAGAAAAAGAAAACCACAAAGTCAAGAGCTTCTGAGGGGACCTGAAAAGTCATCAAACTGACTCTCGTTTTGTAGTTGGAGAAACGGGCTCAGATAAACTTACTGAGCGAAAAAGGCCCTAATGGAGCCCCTAATTCAACAGTGTAATCTGAAATAATCTTAAATTCAGCCTCAATAAGAGCTTTTGGGAGTCGCCAGCGAGTTCGTGGGGGAGCCACGGCTAGAACACAGGCCTCCTGATTCCCAGCCACAGCTTTTCCACCGAACCGGCAGCTCTTCCCGAAAGTTGAAGGCAACTGTCCGCTCACAGGATGGGAGGGATAAAGGGCGCCTTAGTAAACACAGTCCAAGTCTACTTGTTTTACATGAGGAGAGGGACACAGCTCCCGAAATCCTGGATTCCACGGCTGCAGCTGCTGCTTCTGACAGCAGAGGCGGGAGGTGGCCCGGGACTACTCGGTCCTCAAAGGCTGGATTCCCTCTCGGCGCGCCGAGACCTCTGCGCTTCACTGACTGGCTTCCCTACAAGTAGACTGGGGGTCTTTCGGGGAAGTAAAAACGGCAGACACGCCACCCCCACCGAGGCCCTGGACGCCCAGCCGCTCCAGAATCACGGCCTTAGCCCTTGGAGGGCCAGGGAGACGCGGACCCCCAGACCCGCAGCCCGGCCGCGTGGGTAGGCGCGCAACTGAGGAACCAGGAGCTGCGCCCCGCCACGAGTGAGGGGCGGACGGGAGACGTCGAGGCCGGCGAGGGGGCACGCGCTAGTTCCACAGCCCGGCGGGAGAGACGTAGGGTAGGCAGGCGTCCCAGGCCGCGGGTGGTTCGGGGTCCGTCACAGACATACTCACTGCCGCGGTTGCAAACAGGAAGCACCAGCCAGGAACTAAAACGCGTAGAGGGACGGGGAGGGGCGAGGACAAATGAGGTAAGGAGGCCGCGTCCACGCAGACCCGGGAGGAGGGAAGGCATTTCCGGGACAACGCCGTTCTCGGCGTCGCCTTTCTGTGTCCGCCCACCTGCCGCGCCTGGTGTTCGCATGCGTACTGAGTGCGAACCCTTTCTCTGCCCCGCCTATAATCTTTAGGTTTGCCTTCCTTGCTTTGCCCCTTCCCCTTCCCATCTTCTCTTGAAGTTACCTAGGCTGCGTCTATTATTTGAATGACTCGTACGGAAAAGATGCTATTTACCGGGCAAAAGCCGAGGAGTTCGTGCCCTGTTATGTCCGCAAGGAAAACTACAAGTCCCATGAGGACCCAGGCGGGATTGAGGCCGGGCTCTGCCTCCTTCTCCCTGGCGCTCGGTGGACGCCCCCCTAGTGCCACGTGGCGCGGGAGCCGAGCTGATCGCCTGCGTGACGAGGGCCGTTGCGGCTGGCAGCTTGGCCCGCGGTCCTGGGTAGCCCTGGAGCGGGAAATGCCTCCTTGAGAGCGCATGGCTTCAAGCTTTTTCCTTGCGCTCCTGATCTTAGGCTGGTCGCTTTTACCTTTAGGTTTAAGTTGAACACAGCTCACACTGGGCGCTTCCTCCCCCTCTTTCTGGAATTCCAGGCAACAGATTTAACACTTTATGAATCTTGAAGAGCTGCACTACTGCTAAATATTGGAGTTAATGCTGATCCTTTGGAAGCCTCCGAAGGCTACAAGACTGTGATGAGAGCCCTCTGGTTTCAGTTGCCTTTCTCACACCTTATTTTAATACTCAAGGTAAACCCATTTGTACAACTTTAGAAATAACTGTCAACCTAAGGGAAAAACTGAGGCAAAGTTAATATAAATAGAGAATTTATTTGGGCCAAGTCTCAGGAATGCAACCTGGGAGCATCAATTCAAGTTACCTTTAATTTAATACATGATCTTAGCTGCAGTTTCAAGTGAGTTATTTGGTTGGCCAGGAAGCTCGAACTCTTGGCTTAAAGGGATTGATCCTTCCACCTCTTCCTCCCAAAGTACTGGAATTACAGGCGTGGGCGACTGCACCCAGCTACAAGTGAATTTTTAAAGGAAAAAGGAAAAGAGGCCCTTGCTAAATTGTATGGCAAGAATTTACGTTAAAATAACAACCTATCCATTGGCTATACGTTGTTCTTTCTATCACGAATTCTAGGAACACGAAGATAAAGGGTGATGCTTGTACAGGACAGAAAAGAACAAAGTGCCTTTAAACAATTGCTAGTGTACATGGGGATGGTGCTGACTGAAGTCTCATACTCAGGTCCCTCTGGGCGTGATAAATTTTGAATGCCTGGCCAGGCTGGTGGGGTTGCTCACACCTGTAATCTCAGCACTTTGGGAGCCTAAGGGGGAAGGATCTCTTAAGGCCAAGAATTCGAAACCAGCCTCGGTAATATACCAAGAAGCTATCTCTTAAAAATCTTTAAAAATTAGCCGGGCGCGGTGATGCACCACGCAACTCCACTCCAGCCTGGGTAACAGACTGAGATCCTGTCTCAAAAAATAAAAGTAGATAAAGAATAAATCTCCTTTTTATAAAATCCTTTTATAAAAATTAAATAAAAATTAAAATTTAAAAAAAATTTAAATTTTAAATATTAGCTGTGTGATGGGGCAGGCCTGTAGTCCTAGTTACTCAGGAGGCTGGGGTGGGAAGATTGCTTGAGCCTGGAAGTTCAAGGTCACTGTGAGCTGTGATTACACCACTGCACTCCAGCCTGGATAAGAGACCCCATATCTTTAATTTAAAAAAAAAATGGAGGGGCCAGGCATGGTAGCTCATGCCTGTAATCCCAGCACTTTGGGAGGGTGACATGGGAGGATCTCTTTAGTCCAGGAGTTCAAAATCAGCCTGGGCAACATAGTGAGACCCCATCTCTATTTCTTAAATTATTAAATAGAAATAAAAATAAATTGTTTTGTTCTGTGAGTTACCAGGAATGTAAAAAAAGATTAAAATAAAGTAAATTGTTGCATACTTTTAATATAGCATAGACTGCTCTGAGCTATTTTTCTCCTGTCATAATGAAACACTTTGCCAGTTCATTGGCCCCTCTCAATTCTCGTCGAGATAAGTGTGACTTATGTGTGTTAAGAGATAGGTGGTGTTAGAAAGTGCAGAAAAGCTCTACATTTTTAAGCAACTGGTCTCACAGAGCCAGGAGTCTGGCTGGGAAAATGGTTAAAGTCTAAGAGTTTGGCTAGAAAAGCATTAGAACATTTAATTAACATTGTGGTAAGTGCTGGGAAGGAGAAGGACAGGGTACTATGAAAAGGTAAAACTGGAGAACCACTTTTACAGATAAGGAAAGAGGCATAGAAGCAGCTCACAGGTGACTGGATTGTTTGTTTAGGTAATGTATATTGTATAAAACAAATGTCACCTTTTTAAAAATATTGAGCTTTTATTAAGTGCTGGTATTACTCCTATATATCTATTATATATAATATTTTAAATTTCAACAATACTTTGTGGGTTGTATTTTTTTTTTTTCCTTTTTTTTTTGAGATGGAGTCTTGCTCTGCCACCCAAGCTGGAGTGCAGTGGCACTATAACATCTCACTGTACCCTACCTTCCAGTCAAGTGTTGCTCCCACCTCAGCCTCTCAAGTAGCTGGGACTGCAAGCTCACGCTACTGGGACCTGCTAATTTTTCTTTCTTCTTTTTTTTTTTTTTTTTTCTTTTTATAGAGCTGTGGTATCCCGTGTTGCCCAGGCTGGTCTTGAACTCCTGCTCTCCTGGGCTCAAGCAAGCCTCCCGCCTATTCCTCCCAAAGTGCTGGGATTACAGGTGTGAGCCTGAATTACAGAGCCTGGCCAACACTTTCAAGTTGATTTTTTAAATTCTTATTTCACAAAAAAAAAGAAAGAAAGGAAGGGAAGGAAAGAAGGGAGGGAGGGAGGGAGGTAACAGATGTAGAAAGGCTAAGTAACGCTTATAGAAGGCCGTAAGTTTAGGACATACAGTCATGTGCTACTTAATAATGTTCCAGTCAGAAACAGACTGCACATACTACAGTGGCCCCATAAGATTACTTTATCATATTTTTATTGTACCTTTTCCATGTTTAGATATACAAATACCATTGTGTTACAATCACCGATAGTATTCAGTACGGTAACATGCAGTTATCTAGCCTAGGAGCAATATGCTCTACCGTATAGCCTAGGTGTGTAGTTGACTATACCATCTACTATACTATCTAGGTTTCTGTAAATACACTCAATAATGTTTGTACAACAATGAACTTAGCTAATGATGCATTTCTCAGAACATATCCCAGTCTTTAATGACATATGACTGTACTCCTAATTACCATGTCCCATCTTCCCACTATCACACATGCATTCAACACAGATTTACTGCTTTCCCATGCTCAGAATGCTTCAGCCTACCCCTTTAGTTTATGTCTTAAAACCTAGAGTCCTTTGGATGGCGTAAAAGGCACTTCTTGAGCTGACATCTGCCTACCATTGACGCTGAATCCTGAGCAGTTGCCAGAACACACTATGCCCTCCCACATCTGTGCCTTTGCAAAGAACACTCCACTGCCTGTAAAGTCCTTCTCCCTGTCCTTCTAACATATACCCACTCACCCTACTCTGCTGAAGTTTTGGGTCTTCAGGGAAACTTCCCACCTCAGCCTCTCTCTCTACATACACAGCATTTCTCTTTCTAATTGAAGCTGTCTCTAGTCCCCGCTTCTCCTTTTTTTTTTTTTTTTCCCGACACAGGGTCTCACTCTGTCACTCAGGCTGGAGTGCAGTGGTGTGAATACAGATCACTGCAGCCTCAACCTCCTGGGCTCAAGAGATGCTCCCACCTCAGCCTCCCAAGAAGCATGGATCGCCACACTGCACCTGGCTAATTTAAAAATATATACATTTTGTAGAGATGGGATCTTGCCATGTTGACCAGGCTGGTCTTGAACTCCTGTCTCAAGCAGTCCTCCCGCCTCAATGTGAACCACAGTGCCCAGCCCCTACTTCTTGAAATCATGGGTAACAGCTTGCATAAGTATCCTGAAGTATTTCTTACACAGTATCTTCTGAAGAGACCAACATTTATTTGAGAAGGGAAGCACCTGTTCTTCCCACAGCAGTGGCAGTAGTACATCAACAGTGCACAGCTGAATTGGGACAGGGGCCAGGACAAAGCAGAAATCTGCTGCAGAGACCAGGAAAGATAAAGGATATTCTGTAGCAGGATCTGGGCAAGCGGCACTCATCCATATCCTTTGCATTGCAAACAGAGGAGCTACCTCCTTCCTTTTTATTTTCCAGTTTGTTAATGGCTCCTAGAACCTCTGAGAACTAACTGATTTTGACCTCTTAACAGTTGCCTTTCAACTACCATTCATTCACTGCAAGCCTACTGTGTAAATGGGCCCTGGCTAACCACTTCAGATATATTGTCTCTTGTCTAGCTTCAAGTGACTCTCTAAGGGAGGGATTAGCCCCACCTCACTAGTATGGAAATGGAGACTTGGAGTGATCAAGTGACTTGCTCTGAATTATACAGCTGGGAAGTGGTGAAGCTGGAATTCAACTCAAGTTATGTCTAGATCTAAAACCCATGCTCTTTTCTATGCTCAAAGCTGCATTTCAAAACTGAACTTTAGCATGGAGTCTATGATGAGTGGCTCATGTCTTTTCACCCAGCACCTAGCCCAAGGCCAAGCACAGAGAGGGCTCACAGTGGACACTTGGAATGAGTAGATTCTGTATGGAATGGTTGGTAAATGAAGGCCTGGGCATGGTGTGAACAGTGTTATGGGACAGCAGAGGAGGGGGTGGTGGCTGATTAGGGGAAATGGAGAAGCCTCTGCAGAGGAACAGAGTTGAGTGAGGCCTGGAGAAATAAGTAGTCAGAAAAAGACCGACCAATTCAGCATTCTCACAGCAAAGACCACTAACAGGCAATTCACAGAACAGGAAACCCAAAGGCCATGAATAGGTGCTCCACATCACCAACAGTCAGAAAAACGCAAATTATCTCATGCACAGTAGATGAGAATGCAAACTGGAAAAGTGTGTTAGGAGAGCTATTTGGTAGCATCTATCACAATTATAAATGAGGTATGTTGTTAAATGTATGTACAAACATTG